CTTGAATGTTAGAAAATTCAGAAACGCTAGTATTGTCTGTTGGATTTTCAGCAGCCTCAGAACCAAGGTCAACAGCCTTTACTTTTAAGTGGTCGTGAAGGAGACTCGCATCACTCTCAACTGCAGCATCTACTTCTACTACTTTGGAAAGCCCACATTCCATACTATCAGGTGTTGAATGTTTGTCTTCAGTAACCTCAACTTTGGTATGTCTATCTGCAAAATCAGCTGTTATAATACTTTCATCTATAGCCTCTGTATTTTGGGAAATGCCCTCAGCTATTGCTTGATTACCATCTGCAGCCACAGACATTGTATGTATACTGTCTGCAATTTCTGCTGTATTACTAATGCCCGCTGAAAGCTCAGATGCTTTACAAGTACATTCTGAAACTTCATCAGTTGTATGAATGTCTGCAGAATCCATATTCTCATTCATACAAACTGGAATATGAACAGCTGTGTCTGTTTTGTCTGTAATGTCTGCAGCATTAACTGTGCTATCCAACAGATGATCAGTTTTATTACCCTCAGCTGCTGAGAAACTGCTTACTTGATTGTTTCCAGTATCAGATGTTGATTTGCAATCATCAAGACCTTTCACAGTACAGAAGTTATCTTCAATATCAGGTGCTCTTTGGGATTTACCTTTAACTCCCAATACTAAACAATTTTCCTTATCCTCCAATACACGGGCGTGCACATCTTCAGAAGTTGCTACCTGTAGTCGGCACACCTTTTCTGTCAGGTTAGATGGTGCTTGATAAACCTTAGCAAGTGGATTATCAACCACTGCATCTTTAGTTGCAAGATGATCCAAGACAGATTCAGAGGGTGATTGATATAAGACATTCGCAGTTTCAGGATCTACAACTGAATCACCAGTGTATAGGGAATCATTCTGATTATCCTCAGTTTGTGGCTGATCCAAAAGCAGATGACCAACATGGCTATCATCAGTTGGAGGGTGATCACTATGAGCACTGTTAGTTGATGAGTGATCTACTGTATCTCCACCTGATGGCTGACTGATTCTGCCATGTAATGGTGTAGGCTCTATCATACCATTTTTTTCTGATGGATGATCAATTCTACTGTCATCTATTGTTGTAGGGTCTACTACAAATTTGCTTTCTGGTGGATGATGGACTGAAGCTTCATCCACTGGATGATAACCAACTAATGCCTCATCACCAGGTGAATGATCTACTGATGGATGATTAACTACACCCTCTTCAACTGGCAAATGAACACCTGAAACTTCACCAACCTCTGGGCGATCAACTATACCTCTTTCAACTAGCAGATGAGAAATTGGAAAATGATCACCTACATCTTCAACTAGCTGATCATCACCTGGTGGATGGCCAATAACTGCCTCATCAACTGGTGGAAGATCCACTTTCACTTCCTCAACTGGTGGATGATCAGCTACTGCCCCATCAGCTGGCGGCTGATCCATTTTCACTTCCTCAACTGGCAGATGACCAACTTCTGCCTCACTAGCGGCCAACTTCATCAGATGACAACTTCTGCCTCATCAGCTCGATCAATGACAAACTTCTGCCTCATCAGCTGGTGGATGACCAACTTCTGCCTCATCAGTGGGTGGATGACAAACTTCTGCCTCATCAGTGGGTGGATGACCAACTTCTGCCTCATCAGTGGGTGGATGACAAACTTCTGCCTCATCAGGTGGATGGCCTCATCAGTGGATGACAAACTTCTGCCTCATCAGTGGGTGGATGACAAACTTCTGCCTCATCAGTGGGTGGATGATCAGTGGTGGATGACTTCTGCCTCATCACTGCTTCATCAGCTGGTGGATGACAAACTTCTGCCTCATCATGACTTCTGCTTCATCAGCTGGTGGATGACCAACTTCTGCCTCATCAGCTGGTGGATGACAAACTTCTGCTTCATCAACTGGCTGATGACCTACTTCTGCCTCATCAGTGGGTGGATGACCAACTTCTGCTGCAACTTCTGCCTCATCAGTGGTGGATGACCTTCTGATCAGCTGGTGGATGACAAACTTCTGCCTCATCAGCTGGTGGATGACCAACTTCTGCCTCATCAGCTGGTGGATGACCAACTTCTGCCTCATCAGCTGATGACCAACTTCTGGCTGGTGGATGACCAACTTCTGCCTCATCAGCTGGTGGATGACCAACTTCTGCCTCATCAGCTGGTGGATGACCAACTTCTGCTCATCAGCTGGTGATGACCAACTTCTGCCTCATCAGCTGGTGGATGACAAACTTCTGGCTGGATGACCAACTTCTGCCTCATCAGCTGGTGGATGACCAACTTCTGCCTCAGCCAACTGCCTGGTGGATGACAACTTCTGCCTCATCAGCTGGTGGATGACCAACTTCTGCCTCATCAGCTGGTGGATGACCAACTTCTGCCTCATCAGCTGGTGGATGACCAACTTCTGCCTCATCAGCTGGTGGATGACCAACTTCTGCCTCATCAGCTGGTGGATGACCAAACTTCTGCCTCATCAGCATGACCAATCAGCTGGTGGATGACCAACTTCTGCCTCATCAGCTGGTGGATGACCAACTTCTGCCTCAGCTGGTGAATGACCAACTGCTTCATCAGTGGGTGGATGACAAACTTCTGCCTCATCAGCTGGTGGATGACCAACTTCTGCCTCATCAGCTGGTGGATGACCAACTTCTGCCTCATCAGCTGGTGGATGACCAACTTCTGCCTCATCAGCTGGTGGATGACAAACTTCTGCCTCATCAGCTGGTGGGCTGGTGGATGACAAACTTCTGCCTCATCTGATGGATGACCAACTTCTGCCTCATCAGCTGATGGATGACCAACTTCTGCCTCATCAGCTGGTGGATGACAAACTTCTGCCTCATCAGCTGGTGGATGACAAACTTCTGTCTCATCAGCTGGTGGATGACCAACTTCTGCCTCATCAGCTGGTGGATGATCCATTTCTGCCTCATCAGCTGGTGGATGACCAGCTTTTATCTCATCAGCTGGTGGATGACAAACTTCTGCCTCATCAGCTGGTGGATGATCCATTTCTGCCTCATCAGCTGGTGGATGACCAGCTTTTACCTCATCAGCTGGTGGATGACAAACTTCTGCCCCATCAGCTGGTGGATGACCAACTTCTGCCTCATCAGCTGATGGATGACCAACTTCTGCCTCATCAGCTGTTGGATGACAAACTTCTGTCTCATCAGCTGGTGGATGACAAACTTCTGCCTCATCAGCTGGTGGATGGCCAACTTCTGTCTCATCAACTGGTGGATGACCAACTTCTGCCTCATCAGCTGGTGGATGACCAACTTCTGCCTCAACAGCTGGTGGATGACAAATTTCTAGTTCATCAGTGGGTGGACGATCCATTTCTGCCTCATCAGCTGGTGGATGATCCACTTCTGCCTCATCAACGGGTGGATGACCAACTTCTGCCTCATCAGCTGGTCTTCTGCCTCATCACTGGATGCCTCATCAGCTGGTGGATGATCCACTTCTGCCTCATCAGCGGTGGATGGCTCATCAATGACCATTCTGCCTCATCAGCTGGTGGATGACCAACTTCTGCCTCATCAACTGCTTCATCAGTGTGGATGACAGCCTCATCAGCTGGTGGATGACAAACTTCTGCCTCATCAGCTGGTGGATGACCAACTTCTGCCTCACCAGCGGATGGATGACCAACTTCTGCCTCATCAGAGGGTGGATGACAAACTTCTGCCTCATCAGTGGGTGGATGACAAACTTCTGCCTCACCAGTGGGTGGATGACCAACTTCTGCCTCATCAGAGGGTGGATGACAAACTTCTGCCTCATCAGCGGGTGGATGACAAACTTCTGCCTCATCAGTGGGTGGATGACCAACTTCTGCCTCATCAGCTGGTGGATGACCAACTTCTGCCTCATCAGCTGGTGGATGACCAACTTCTGCCTCATCAGCTGGTGGATGACAAACTTCTGTCTCATCAGCTGGTGGATGACAAACTTCTGCCTCATCAGCTGGTGGATGACAAACTTCTGTCTCATCAGCTGGTGGATGACAAACTTCTGTCTCATCAGCTGGTGGATGAGGTGGATGACAAACTTCTGTCTCATCAGCTGGTGGATGACAAACTTCTGTTCATCAGCTGGTGGATGACTTCTGTCTCAGCTGGTGGATGACAAACTTCTGCTTCATCAGCTGGTGGATGACAAGCTTCTGCCTCATCAGCTGGTGGATGGCCTCATCCAAACTTCTGCCTCATCAACTGGTGGATGACAAACTTCTGCCTCATCAGATGACCAACTTCTGCCTCATCAGTGGGTGGATGACAAACTTCTGCCTCATCAGTGGGTGGATGACAAACTTCTGCCTCATCAACTGGTGGATGACAAACTTCTGCCTCATCAACTGGTGGATGACAAACTTCTGCCTCATCAACTGGTGGGTGGTCAACTTCTGCCTCATCAGTGGGCGGATGACCATCTCCTGCTTCATCAGCTGGTGGATGACAAACTTCTGCCTCATCAGCTGGTGGATGACCATCTCCTGCTTCATCAGCTGGTGGATGACAAACTTCTGCCTCATCAGCTGGTGGATGATCCATGTTCACTTCCACAACTGGTGGATGACAAACTTCTGCCTCATCAGTGGGCGGATGACCATCTCCTGCTTCATCAACTGGTGGATGACAAACTTCTGCCTCATCAACTGGTGGATGATCCATGTTCACTTCCACAACTGGTGGATGACAAACTTCTGCCTCATCAACTGGTGGATGATCCATGTTCACTTCCACAACTGGTGGATGACCAACTTCTGCCTCATTTACTGGCGGATGACAAACTTCTGCTTCATTTACTGGTGGATTACTAACTTCTGCCTCATCAGCTAGTGGATGACCAACTTCTGCCTCATCAGCTGGTGGATGACAAACTTCTGTCTCATCAGCTGGTGGATGACCAACTTCTGCCTCATCAGCTGGTGGATGACCAACTTCCTGCCAACTTCATCAGCTGGTAGCATCAGCTGGTGGATGACCAACTTCTGCCTCATCAGCTGGTGGATGACCAACTTCTGCCTCATCAGCTGGTGGATGATCAACTTCTGCCTCATCAGCTGGTGGATGAGCAACTACAGTATCATCTACAGGTGGATAACTAACTATGGCATTATCACCCATTATTGGTGGGTGATCAACTGCAAGATTATCTTGGGAAACTTCAGATGGAAGTTTATCAGAATGATCTAGACAATGCTCAAGTAGAGTTTTCTCAGATGCTGCCTCGTCAACTACAGAATCACCAATTACTGAATGATCAACTGGACTCTTATCAGTTGATGATTGGTATCCATTTCCAATGTCTGATTCATCAACTCCAGAGTCACCAGCCACTGAACAACTCGACTTGGCTGCCAAAATTTCTACCACATGCTCTGTTGGATGAGGACAGTCATTTAGGTTAACTGGAGATGTATTTTCAGTTAAATCAGATTGAATACCACTTCCCTCTCCTGAGCCAACTGTTGGTTGGCTCATGCTAGTCAGATCAGCTGGTGGGTCACTTTTTTCAACTAATACTTGGCTCTCTGTTGACTGACTTTCTTCATGATGCCTGTCATCTATGACATGAACAGACTCTAAGGAGTGGCTACTATCAGTAGCTTGCAGTGGTAGATGAAAACTTTCTGAGGAATCAGTCTTTGAAACTTTACCTGCAGAATCCTGGTTACAGTTTACAGTTTGCATTTCTTCCGTTTCATTGCTACATAACATCTGATTACTGACTGGAGCACTTTGAACATCTTGAAAATTGACACAAGTTTCTGCTTGGCTTTCAGTTTTTAAAATACCCATTTGATTACTGGGTTCTACATCAGCATTTGAAAAGCATGTTTCCTTTCTGTCACCTAAACCAATCATTTTAGTGCTATTTTCAGCTAATGAACAAATATCTGTTATATTAGCCCTTGTTGGTGGATGACATGTCTCTGTTTCTTTGGGGGAATGTTGGTATTCAGTGACAACTGGGAGCTGCTCTCCTTTTGAAATACTAGAACAGGAATCAAAAATACTGACTGCAGTAGACATTCCTTTCATATCAACCCATTTATATGGAGTTTCACTAACATCATCTTTTTCTTGGACAGCTTTTGCCAGTGACTGAATTTCTTCAAAGATATCCACAGTTGTTTGGCTTGTTGTACAGCTTCTTTCTTTAACAGTTGCTGCTTCATCAGTTTCACTTTTGCTGGCTTCCATTCTGTCAGCTGCTTTTTGACTGGTTTTACATAATTCAGCTGCTCCCTGACAAACTTCAAGAACATTAGCTAATACCTGACCGGATTTAGCAGCCTCATCTGTTGTTTCCATACACGCACTAACTTGTTCAGATGTTGCAACTTTGGTTGCCTCACCTGCTGCTGTACTGACTTTACATAACTCTGATATTACAGAACAAAGTCCAGCTGCCACCTCATTTGACTTAGGCATCTCCAATGATGCATGACTGGTTTCAGTAATGTCTGCTGCTACCTGACTAGCTTTTGCATCTTTAGAAGGTACATGTTTAAAATCAGAAATCTCTGGATGTCCATGATAAGCTTCAAAATCAACAACTTCAGTGGGGGCAAACTTTGTTCTACTTATTTCATCTGGTCTCTTATTGATTTCAGTAACATTTGCAAGAGCAAGGCTGTCATCCAAAGGCTCATTAGATGTGCAAGAGGCACCAGTTCTGTCAGGTATTTCAAAACTGGCTTCAAAAGTCTGTAATGTCTTCTGACTTGATGATGGTTCTTCCACAGTTCCTTGCTCTGCCTCAGATACTGGTGAATATCCTTTAGCTGTGGCCAAAGTGTCTTTTGTAACTGGATGACTGGCATCTGTGGCAGCCACATTTTGAGGAAGACTGTCTTGAACTTCAGCTGGCAGTGGATGGGCAACTTCATTAACAATTTTACTTGCCGGAGGAATTAGTTTACCTTCCCTACCCAGATCAGGGTTATCCTGAGTATATGTTTTGGAGGATGCAGAAGCCTCTGCCAGAAGACAGAAATCCATAGGTTTAGATGATGTTTTACAACTTTCTTCACTACCCTGAGCCACTGTGTTTGATGGACAAGTCTTAACACAAATATCATTGGATAATGCATGTAAGTCAACCATTCTAGATTGATTAACATCAAGGAAAGTGTGGCAGTGTCTCTTAAGCTGCTCACATATTTCGGAAGCCCTTTCAGGTAGGTTACTTTCATCCAGGAACTTCTGCTTGCAGTCTGCAGTTAGTACATCTGGTTGCCCAATCAAGTGATTTTCTAAACTTCTGTCACTACTAGCAATACTCTTCTCATATGTGGAAACATCCTTTGTGTTCTTTTCAGGTCCTTCACTCCTCTCCCTATCAGGAACTTCCTTACTACCACATTTACAGTCTCCAATAGTGTGTTTTTGGGTTCCTGTTACCCTGTCGCCACTAATCTCATCTGATGCAGTAGAATCATGTGAATATGCACTTCCTCTTTGGTCATCCATAGCAGGAACTTCAGATTCTGAAAATACTTTCTCCTTCAATATTTGGGCATTATCTCCATATGATACAGCCAAATCAGAAGTGACAACTGCATTGTCAACTACCACTGACATTGCAGTAGGTAACACTCCATCACTGAGCTGCACAGATCTAGTGGTTGTACCATCAGACTGGTTGGTGAAATTTTCTTTCTTTTTTCCTGGAAATCTAGCACATCCATCTTCACTGTGAGACATGAGCCTCTTTGTTATTGTATCACCAGATTCACATCCAGCTACCCTATTTTCCTTGGCCAATTCATCATTATGTACAATTGCACCGGCCTGCTTAATCACAAGACCTGCTAGGTCTTTGCTGCCCCCACTCTGTGATGTATTGCAGTTTTGGTTTTGACTAGAACTTTTCTGAGATCCTGAGATGAGGTTTTGGCATATATGGCTACTATTATTAGGCATACTACAACAAGCTACGGTACATGATTCTGCTAAAAGTACCTGTGTGTGTGAGCTAAGAGGGTCAAGCTTATCTGTGGATAAACTTGAATCTTGTGATGATTGTGTTGACTGGCCAATAGGAGTAATGCCACTAGTTGATTTAGAGGTGGAGGACTCATCTGCTGATCCAGTGTCAACCTCTCCTAAGAGTGATGGAGGTTCTAACTGCTTTTGCTGTTCATGGTAAGCAGTTTTCAACCCTGAATCTTGACAAGAACCTTCTTGTTCACTATTGCTACACAATTTACTAAGAGTACTAGGAGCCAACCCACATATATTTCTACTTGGTTCTGGAGATTCTAGAGACCTTTTCTCATTTTCAGTAATACAGGGCAGGCTTTGCACAGTAGGCTTTTGCACACAAGAAACCATTTTCTCCACAGATTCTGTATTTTTTGGTCCCAGTTGTTCACTTTTCAAACAAATATCCACACACACACTATCATCAGTTTCAATAATGGAAGCTGAATCAGATATGGGCTGAACTGTGTCTTTTGTTAGGCCTCTGTCCTTTAGACTTTCAGAATCCTTAGTGGTTTCTTCAGTGGATATTTTTTCCACGGCTGTAGAAAGTAATTTTTCACTATCCAATTTATTTGCATATATTTTTTCACTTGTGTTACTACGTATCGTGTCATCTGATTTTTCACTAGAACCCTGAGTTTTATCACTAAATGACAATGGGGAATCTGGAAGGCTTTCATCAGACACATCTGACAGAATTGCAGCAACAGCATCAGAGATTCTAACCATAATTGCCCCACGCGATGCATCGGAGGGAGTATCAGAGAACATGGGAGTATCAGAATTGCTCTGAAAACCAGAGACAGATGAAAGGCCAGATGAGGTGGAGGGAGCACACAAGAGGGAGTTCTCATCATCTGATATTGGCTCTAAATATGGCAGTGCTTCAGACTCTTTGTTCACAACAGCTGGCAAAACCTGACTTGGTGTAGACTGAAGAGAATTCAATACCTCTGTACCTCTAGGCAAACTTTTCTCTGTGTTATCATCTCTTCCAGTTTCATCTTTCTTTTCATATAAAATTTCTATCTCACTCTCACTGTCCACATTTTCCACTGGCTCATTTTCAATGAGCTCTACACTACTACTCCTGGCACTTTCTGACTCGGCAGTTAAATCTATCAACTTATTCACGACTTTTAGACTGCTCTGATTATTCATACACTCTCTGTCTTTTTGCTGGTCACTTCTTAATGTGTTATCACCGGTTATATTCCCACCACTTTGCTCTGTACCACTTACCACCTTCTCACTTTCTTTTTTATTTACTACCTCCTGTACACTTGGTTCACATTCAGCTTTATCACCAGGTTGTTCTTCCTTTTCACTCTGAAGTTTACCTGCAACATTATCACTCAGTTCCACATTTAAAACTTCAGCATTTGACATCACACTATAGCATTCACCACCACTCAGTTGTGTTTTCATTTTATTATTGCCTTGTGGTTCACTTAGTATGACCTCCAAGACCTGCTGTTCCTCTGCAACACCTCCTCCAATAACTTTCTTACTAATAACCTCAAAGGATTCACTGACAAGATTTTCACTTCCTTCTTTCCCTTCTACGTTTCTACTACCCTTATCATCACTTAGAGTCAAGTCTCTCAAGCCCATTTCTTCTCGCACTTTTTCGGATTCCACAACTAGCTGGTGATCCTTTCCCCCTCCCACTAAACCACACTCAGTCCTTTCAGCAAACTGCAAAGCCGCTGCTGCACTTCTTGCAGAATACTCGTCAGAGGCATGCTGCTGCTGATCACTTTTCAAATTATCTGACATAGAGGATGTAGATGAATCACCTAAGTGGCAATCTGTTCTGGCTTGATTTTCATTACATTTTTTATTCTGTGATATACATTGCACTTCTGATTTAGAACTGCACTGATTGAGCATATCTCCCCATTGAGCATTTTTTGCCACTTCTGCAATGCATTGTAAGCTACTAGTATTCCCTTTTCCAT